CAATATAATGAACTGTCACTGGTATAATATTAACAGCTGTCGGACGAGCTGCTTAGAAATGACAGCAGTCTGAAGATGGTTGCTGATTTTTCGTCTAACCCTGTAGTTCACATAAGTACGAATTTCCACAATTTCCTACATAGCGCAATCCTACATCGGCATTCTTACAGTACAGTTACATATAAAATGGTTATTCCACTGGATTTAGATTAAAATTGTCATATCTACCATAAACATGGCATTAGTTCCAATTTTCAGGATTCCAACTCTATCGGTTTACACATACCCCAAGATGCACCAAATTTAGTACATTTTAGTATCTATAAATACAAATTGCCAAAACTACCACCATATCCCGATTCTTCAACCCAACAGTAAACTTATTTCTAAATTGCTGGATACCAGCTTTATTGGTTCACCCAAATCCAAATTGTACCAAATTTAGTACACGTAGGTACAAATTTTCATAATTAACTATTTTATGCCATCCAATACAGATTTTATTTCCGAATTTCAGGATGCCAACTCTACCGGTTCTCCCAAAAATTTAAATTGTACCAAATTAAGTACCTTTTAGAACAAATAAGTACGAATTTCCAAAACTACGTACATACCTTAGTCTTACAATAATGTTTTGCTAAATTTCAGAATTCCAGCTATATCGTTTAAACCAAATCAAAATTGTAACAAATTTAGTACCATTTGGTACTTTTTCGTTCACATAAGTACCAATTTCGAAATGTTTCCCTTTCGTCGACTCCACTCCTCAATCTTGATTCTTATTCCAAATTTCAAGTTTTTAGCTCTAACCGTTCACATGTTACGAAATGGTACCAAATATAGTACGGTTTAGAAATTTTCGTGCACTTATAATACCTTCTATTACTTTTCGTAAGATTTTAGTACGGATTCACAAAAAGCTGGCCCTATCTGACACCCTCGGACCAAGAGTGAATCTCACACAAAATTTCAAGATTTTAGCTTCAGCCGTTTTGCTTGGTCGTTGATGAATCGTTAAGTCAGTCAATCAGTCAGTTATTATTTTTTTAAATTAATATGTACTAAAATGAAATGTACTAAAAAAGTGGACCAGTATATTCCACTTTCGGAACCTCCTTCATAGAGGGTCAATAATTTAAATAATCATAACAGAAGTCAAAATATATTTAAATATTCGAACATTGGGTGAGGTTATAGCCTTTTTCACTAATAATCGATCATCAGCTTTTCTTAGAAATTCAAATAATCCTTTTTCAAAGGATATCACAAACATTTTTTAATGTCCATTACCCCCCGGTATCAATTGCCCAGCCCATAGCTGTGACACATTCACATACTCAGCTTTTAATGTATGACCTGAGACAGATAAAATAAAAAAAATATATGTCTTGTTCTCAACGTACACAACGTATAATGGTCGGTCGGAGTAGTAGCAAGTATGAATACTAAAGGATACCCGAAAAGGACATTTTAATGTTCATTTTAAATTGCAAAAGTTGGCCAGTCATCCAGCCAGCCAGCCAGCACACCACCAATACAAAGGGGGACACTAAAAATGACTAAAGCGGGCTTAACAAACTTTTGTTGATATCAAATAATATATATATATGGAAAAGAGTCCAAAGAGATGGCCAAAAGAAACAAGAGAATATGGGTAAGAACGGCTTGCCTTGAGAGGGGAACTGATGGTGGGCAACATATTTTGCTGTCGGCAATGGTGGTTGGGACGACAGTGCATTGCAAACTTTGCTGCTGCTGCTTCATTCATTTTTCTCTGTTCTAACATTAGTGGTTGCGGTTGCAATTTCTAACTTTTCGGAAAATGCAACACCACACAATGTGATGAGAAACTAGACAACAAGAACAACATCAACTGTTAGTAAGGATAAAAACAAAGAATAAATGAAATGAAAAGAGAGAAAAAACCCGAGTGAATGAATGAAATGAATGCATGCGAGCAATGAAACCAAACACATTCACACAAAACATGGAACAACGACAGCAACAACAAGAACAACGGCCAAGCCAAAAGAAAGACGATGTGAAAGGGTAATTTTTCTTTTGGCCAAATAAATCCAATTAAAACGTCATTTATGTTTTTTGTTGTTGTCGTTGTTGCTGACGCTGTTAAGAGTGCTTACGGCCCTAAAGACCCCTCTTTTATTTAAGCTGGTAGACCCCTGGGGCTGCCTAACCACTTCAAACGGGAATAGAAACGTGAATTAAAGAAGATGAAGAAAAAAAGAAACGAACTTGGAGAGGAAGACAAAAACATCAGCAGAAGAAAACCTACCTTCAATTTACATTCACCGGAACTGAAAATGAAATAGTAACTGAAATGGAATCACAAAAAAAAAACAGCTCCCGTTGAAGATGAACACAAATACAATATGGCCTGAAGAGTCTTCTATGCACACTGGTAGTTACCAGAAGGTTTCATTGGTTGTGGGGCTTCGTTGGGGGGAAGGGAGGAAACTAGTGTGTGGATGGAAGGAAATTAAATCCACGGTTTTAAATTTAATTCCTGATGAAAGAAAATTGGAATTAAAAATGTTTATTTGATTAGAATAGAAAATGGAATTCTTATGCATTAAATAGTTTATTTCAAATGTATTTTATGCAAAAATTTAAATATTCTTTTCATGGGATATTTTTAAAATCTAATAATATTATAATTTATCTAAAAATTGTGTTCGACACAATAATTGTCAACAAATGTAAAAAAAACACTGTGAGACAAAATTCAATATTTCAAAGAATTAATGTGAAAATCTAGCAAATTATGAAGTTCCGCCAGACCGAACTTTTAATACCCCCCACCTTTGGATAAAGAAAATATTTTTATATAAAATATCTGGATTCAAACGTGTTCCACTTTGAACGACAATGCTGTTAAATTTTTGGATAATCCTGTTAATTTTTCATGGGTAAATGTGACTAGGATTATCAACATACCGAGTACCGATGGGTATCGTTATATGTGCGCTATAAGAAAACGTGAACCTAAATTTTCAATGTTCTGCCACAGGCGCTAGAACCCGATATGACCTACAAATATCAATTTTTAGACAAATCCGTGGAAAAATGTGGCAACATCATGAAAATACCCAATATCGGGAGGTACCTTTATATGGAGACCATACCAAAACGTGGACCGATGTATCTCATTTTCAATAACAACCATTATAGACACAATACGAATTGTTCCGTCAAATTTTGAAGCTCTACGTCAGATAATATGGGCTGTATCGCGATTTCAACAGACAGACGGACAGACAGATTATACTGATTATGAATATATATATATACTTTATGGTGTCTACGAGGAATATTTAGGGATGTTACAAACGGAATGATATAAGTCACCAAAAAATGTCGGAAATAGCATCAAACTTTGCCATAAGTCTAGATTTGTTCGAATTGGTCATCTTTGGCCTTCAAATGGCCAATGAAACAGTCACACGCTGCCCGAATTTTGCTCTGCGGTATTTTGGCCCATTCTCGGCGAAGCGCTTGCTTGAGGTGATCGACACTTTGGTATTTTTTAGTGCCAACCTTGCTTTCCAAAATACTCCAAACACAATAATCCAACGGATTGGTATCCAGAGATTTTGCCAAGCGAAGCAACTCTTTAGTTCTTTTAAGTCCATTTTCTTCCTGTTGGGGTATAAGTTCTTGCACTTTTTGGAATTTCAATGGCTCATTTTTCAATATTTGCCGAATGGAATATTGCGATATGTCCAGCTCATGAGCCATTTTTCGGCTACTGTGACGCGGGTTTCGATCAAGTCGCTTCTTTACTCTCTTTCAAACCATTTCTGCTGATGTTGCTGTTTTCTTCCGTCCACTTCCTTGACGTTGGGCAACGCTACCAGTTTCGCGATAACGAGCGATGGTACGAGACATAAAAGATTTATTCACATTTAAATGCTGGAGTGCTCCAACGATAGCCACTTGTGGTTTTTCAGCCAAATATAAATAAATCACATTATCACGCTTGAATTCCATCACGAATAACTTTTTTTCTGGAAAATTCTCACCAAAATGCTTTTGTACGATTGTAAACAATATAATGAACTGTCACTGGAATAATTTTAACAGCTGTCGGACGAGTGGCTTAGAAATGACAGCAGTCTGAAGTTGGCTGCATTTTTTTCATCTCACCACAAAAAATACCGAAAATATTCCCTACTTTTTTCGAGTTGACGCCTGAAAGTAACATAGAAATCCGTTTCTGTCGAAAATTGTCAAATAAGAAATATTCTATACAAAATTTCGTTTTCAATCTCAGAAAAAACCATATATCTAGTTACAATAGTTTTTAGGAAAATTATATTTCGAATGTGTGTACCAAAAGAGAATATAACGTTTTCACTGTTAATTTAACACGTATCCAATCAGAGTCAAAATTGCCTTTAGACTTAATTTTTTGCGAAATGTTCCAAAAGAAGAACTATTCTAGATCAAATTTTATTGGGAGTCTCCGAACAAAAGAAATTTGTATATCCAGTAGGTAACATGATGTGGAATATTTTTTCACAATACAATTTAACCATGAATAATTTTTCTACAATCGTGGATAACGTTACCGCACAAAAGAAGATTTTCTGTACCCTGTATATATTATCCTGCAGCAGAGGTTCTGTGTTAATGAAAAATTATGTCTTTCAATTTATTTGTTATGCCTTGAGTTCCCTCAATTTTCGGCTTAACTCAAACAACAACAACAGAAACCATGAATGGCTCAAAAAATGAACACATATGTTTTGAACAAAGAATGGCATGAAAGGACCAATCATCTTTTTTGTTTCTTTTGGATGGATTTAACTTTCACCATTGTCCTCCTCTTTTTTTGTATTCCTGCAATCCTTTGCAAACTGCCTCTGTCATTAATCCTTTAGGCCATACAATTTTTTTGCCGGTTGCCTTAATTTGTTTTCTCATTGTTTTGTTTCCGTCTTTTTTTTTAACATTTGCTTTTGTTTTCATTTCTCTTGCAGCTGGCTTCATCTGGCGATGGCCATAAAAATGACCCACCGTTGCCTTTGGATTTAGATGTTCCCTATAATGATGACTACAGTATTTACCATAATGCGGATACAAATTCTGAATCCAGTTCAAGCGCTACATTAGCGAATTCCAATAAAAAAAAAGAAGAAGAAGAACAAAAGCGTAAAACGCAACAAGCATCTGTGATAACGTGGCGTAATGCTGGTCAGCAGCAGACAAAGCAGGGTGGAGGAGCAGCATCAGACACAACTGCCAATACTCCACCACCACCATTTACTCCCTCGTCCTCGTCCTCCTCCGCATCATCATCATCGACGAAATACAATCGCAACCGTAACATAATTGTTAGTAATTATAATCCTAACAACAACAACAATAATAATAACAATGGAGACAGTTCATACAACAACAACAATGTGAGGAAAACCTACACCAAACACAAAAACATCATTGTCAGCACCTACAACAATCGCTCATCGTATGATGACTTCAATGACAGCAACGGAGGCGGCGGTGGTGGTTTCTTCAACAACAACTGGACCACCATCTTCATGGGCAATGATCGACCGATCCACAAGACCCATGTGGAAATAATCACCAAAAATGGTGCCACCAAAAAACCCAATATCATTGTCAATAATTACAATCCGGAAATAATGATGGCGCCCAATCCACACAATCCCAATTTCAATAGCATGCTGATGACCAGCTTGCTAAGCAATCGTGGCGGGGATTATGGCGATAGCCCGAACAGTGTGAAATCGTTGTATGATCGTAAGATAACGTGCATGTTGTATCTACAGGCGGATCATACATTTTTTCAGAAAATGGGTTCGGATGAGGCGAGCATTGAGGCCATAACGCGCCATGTCCAGAGGGCCAATTCGATATACAAGAATACAGGTGAGTGGGAAATAAAGCAAATGTAATTAGTGATAAAAATATTGAAATATTTCAAAATTTTTGGAATGTGAAATGTTAAGGTTGGATGAAATTATTAGACCATAACAACAGTATTTAGAAGGAGATTTTAAGTATATTTCAGGAAATATTTTTACGTCTTGATGATGAAATGTTAAATTAAATATGAATATAGTTAATTGTGATAATTTTTTGAAAATGTTGAAATATGCGCGAGGTACCAGATATAGTAGGCCGAGGTGTTCGACATCTTCCAATACTGGGAAAAATATTACGATGTGCAAAATTTTAGAAAATTAGACATCTGTTATAAATGTTATGGAAATAATAGCTAATCAAAAATTATAGCTTTTGTGGGAGAGGTACGAGAGGAGTGAGCCGATTAATTCCATAATTCACGCCAGATCTCTGATTGAGAGAAAGGTTTGAAAAGAATCGCTGGCTTGTTTCGCAAGTTGTGAGAGATATAGGTATTTTAAATTGAGGGCCTTTGTGGAGGAGGTTACAGAAGCGGTAGGCCGATATATGTACTCTTCAATTCAGATCTTGTGTTAATAAAAATGTAGCGATGTTTGAAATTTGAAGAGTATCGAAAGGCTATTTCGCATTTTACTTGCGTTTTGGTTATTCGAAATTTTTATCCCTTTGTGGGGGAGGTATCAGAAGAAGTGAGCCCATATCCACCATCTTTACACCTGATCTTGTGTTAGTAAAAGTATTGGGATGTGCGAAATTTGAAGATAATCGAGTTCTAATTTCTTATTTTATGAGAGATATAATTATTCAAAATGTTGAACCCTTTGTGGGTCCAAAGCAGTGTACCGATATATCCCACTTCACACCGAATATTGGGACATATATAACATGAAGAAAAACGGATGCATATTTCGCTTTTTATGTATTAATAAAACAATGATTGACTGACTTAACGATTCATCTATGCCCAGACGAAACGGCTGAATCTTCGTACTAGAACGGTACGAAAAGTTACTAAATATGGTATCCGTAGTTTTTGAGGAAGCAGTAGTGTCAAAGCTTTTATATTTGGAATGAGAGTCACTGATGGTATGCTAGGTGTACCAAAGGGTTTTAGGATTTTCGCACTACAAGTGTACAAAAAGTACTAAAATGGATTACATTTGGTACCATTTCGTATTATCTGAACGGTTAGAGCGAAAATCTTGAAATTTGGAATGGGAATCAAGGTTCAGGAGTAGAATCGATTTAAGGAGGTAGTTTTGGAAGTGTATAGTTATGTAAACGAAAGAACTACATGGTACTATTTTAATTTAGAGGAACGAATGGAGATGGTATCCTGAAATTTGAAATTAGCATTACTGGCGGGGTGTAGGATTGGGATATTAAGGAAGTTTTTGAAATTTGTTCTTATGTGCACGAAACGTACTAAAAGTTACTTAATTTGGTACAATTTCGATTTGTGTGGCTGGAGTTCTGAAATTTTGAAATAAGATTATGGTTGCATTCTAGGACTGACAAATGTAGGCAGTGTTGGAAATTCGTATTTATGCGTACTAAAAGGTACTAAACTTAGTACATTTAAAAATTTTTGAGAACCAATAGAGTTGGTATTGATAATTGAACGAAAAGTACTAAGTAACCCAACAATGGATATAAGGTGAAAGGATAGAGCTGGAATCGCGAAATTTGATGTTGATATCGAAGCTTGAGATATGGAGGTTGTTGTGGAAATATGTACTATAATTTTACGAAAAGTACTAAATTGTACAAAGTTTGGTATTGTGTGAAGGAACAGAAATTTAATATTGTCTCCCTATTGGGGTATGTGGTTCAGATATGAAGATGGGTTTGGAAATGTTCGAAAACTACTAAATTGAACGAATGCAAATCTTAAGGTAGATTTTTCTCTGGCGAGTAGCGGGCACGTACTAGTGAGAAATACAATTATTTAAAATTTTGACCCGTTGTGTGGAAGATACCAGAAGAAGTAGCCCGATACATTTCATGTTCATATCAAGTCTTGTTTTAGTAGATATATTGGTATGTGTTTGAAGATCATGATCGGATACTTATTGCGTATTTTATAAAACTTGTAATTATTCCAAATTTTTACCCTTTGTGGGGGAGGTATTTGATGGAGTCGGTCAATAATGTCCATTTTCTCACCCAACATATGACTAATACAAATATTGGGATTTGCAAGGTTTGCACAAAGTCAAACATTTCTATGAGGTTTTTTATTGCCCATCTCCGGATGTTCCAAATTTTGATAAAAGCGGATACTCCCTTCGAGAGCTAAGGTGCGCACCAGCCAGACAGACAGAGAGCCGTATCAAAACTATGAATCGCCTAGCCGGCGTAGGACATACCCCACAGGAGGAAATTTCAAGTCCCGGGTAAAGGTCTGCTACTTATAAGGCTATGAAAGTTAGATACGGAGAAAATAATGATTTCACGATATTTTTAACTAATATCTTCGGAACTACAAGAGATACCATCACAATTGGCACCATTTGGCAAGAACAAGGGCAAGAGATAATATGGGATAATACCCCAAAATGGGTCAATTTTCGACTTATTATGGGCAATTCAAAAAGTTCCGTTATTAAAATATCAATTTTAATGCATAACTCCGGAACCGGTTCAAGGAACGCCATCATATGACCACTTGTAAGATTGGCCATTTCCATATGCTTTCACATGCTACCCATTTTGTAGAACCAAATAAAATCCGGATTTTGTGTCTGAATTTTCGGTTCGAATAAATAAATGTAATTCTCCCAAGAAAAATGTACTTTGCCATAATCAGGTCATAATGGGATTTATGTCCGCTATACGATAATTTGAAACCAATAAAAATATATCTGGAGAGAAAAAAACCGATTTGAAATTTACTTTCTTTCTGTCTTTCTTTCTTACAAAACCGAAATTTTTTTTTATTCTAAAAAAACAATACTAAACATTTCAATTACTTTCTAAAAAAACACAAAAAAACTTCTAAAATTTGACAATCAAGGCAAATATTGTCCGCACTACATATCAACATAGTTCTCCTTGTTTTTTTGGGTGTGTTGGCGACAATTTACCTAGAAAAAGCCACAGCGGAAAAAAAGTATTGCAGATACTCGAAAAGTGAGTATCACCATCACCATCGCCATCGCCATCGCCATCACCAAATACAAACAACAACAAATAACATTGTGCAAAACTGCCTGTACAGGATTGTTGTTAATGTTTAGTTGTAAGTATATGGGGCGGGGGGAATGACGATGACAAATACCGAAATAGACCGCCAAGGATAATATTTGTTTTACATGTTGTGAAGTGGCCGGTGAAGAAGGGGGACCAGAAACGAAAAAAAAAATGAAACGAAATAAACCACCACGAAAAAAAAAAACATTTTTAGAAACTCAATTTTCTAGTCATGTTTTTTTGTGCTTTTCTCTCAGCTCTCTCCACACTGCATATTTAGTATGCAATATGCAGAATGGTGTTCAAACACCCACCCACACACACACACAAACACATAAACCGAACACCATTCCAACATAAAGTAATGAAAAACATGGCTGGACAATTTGTTTTTTCCATTCGACCTACGAAACATTTTTGTTGCATATTTTTCAATTTAGCCGTGGAAAATTGTGATTTTTCATTTTTGTTCAGTTCTGTTTTGTTTTCCATTTTTTTTTTTTTTTGGTATTTCCATTGCGGTAGGTGCTCTAAAGTGCAATGCAATGCCAGCGGAAAGCGGAAATGAATAAAGTTTTGTGCACACAAAACAAAATACGGCACAACAAGAAAAAAAGTTATTGAGATTTAAATCGGATTTGTTTTGTCAGAAACTGAAATTTATTGTGTATTGTGTTATACTACTCGCTCATAACAATCTCTAAAACACACACTCACACACAGCCAGCGTTATTGAATTGCACACACACAAGCAAACATTTAAAATAGCCCAACGTAGATTGATTTTTCCACTTTATGCCGACCATATTGTTATTATCGTTGTGTTCTGCTTTTCTATTGAATGACCATCGTTGTCCGTTTGTCCTTTAGCATTCTTTGCCGTATGCTATTGTTTTTATACCCTCCACCATAGTATGGAGGGTATATTAAGTTTGTCATTCCGTTTGTGACACCTCGAAATATACATTTTAGACCCCACAAAGTATATATTCTTGAACAGCATAAAATTCTATGTCGATTTAACAATGTCCGTCCGTCTGTCCGTCTGTGGAAATCACTCTAGCTTCCGAACGCCCCCATATAAAGGTTCCCCCCCCCCCCCCCCCCCCCCCCCCCCGATATTCGGTATTTTGATGATTGTAGCGAAATTATTTACCGGAATTGTTTCAATATTGGTATTTGAAGTTTGTAATGGATACTACAGCCTAAAACAGAAAATGGGTTATGTAGATCCAGGTCTTCGTGTAGCCCCCATATAGCGGTACCTCCCGATATGCGGTATTTTGATGATTTTAGCGACATTATTTACCGGAATTGTTTCAAATTTGGTATTCAAAGTTCGTAATGAATACTACACCCTAAGACAGAAAATAGTCAGTGCAGGTCCATGTCTTCATATAGCCCTAATATAACGGTACATCCTGATATTCAGTATTTTGATGATTTTAGCGACATTATTTACCGGAATTGTTTCAAATTTGGTATTCAATATTCGTAATGGATACTACAGCATAAGACAGAAAATGGGTTATGTAGATCCACATCTTCGTATAGCCCCCCATATAACGGTACCTCCCGATATTCGGTATTTTGATGATTTTAGCGACATTATTTACCGGAATTGTTTCAAAATTGGTATTTGAAAGTCATAATGGATACTACAGCCTAAGACAGAAATTTGTCTGTGCAGGTCCACGTCTTCATATAGCCCCCATATAACGGTACCTCCCTTTATTCGGTATTTTGATTTTTTAGCGACATTACTCACCGGAATTGTTTCAAATTTGGTATTTGAAGTTCATGATGGATACTACAGCCTATGACAGAAAATGGGTCATGTAGATCCACGTCTTCCTATAGCCCCCATATAACGGTACCTCCCGATATTCGGAATTTTGATGATTTTAGCGACATTATTTACCGAAATTGTTTCAAATTTGGCATTCAAAGTTCGTAATGGATACTACAGCATAAGACAGAAAATGGGGCATGTAGGTCCATGTCTTCGTATAGCCCCCATATAACGGTACCTCCCGATATTCGGTATTTTGATGATTTTAACGACATAATTTACCGGAATTGTTTCAAATTTGGTGTTTGAAGTTCGGAATGGATACAACAGCCTAAGGCAGAAAATTGTCTGTGCAGGTCCACGTCTCCATATAGCCCCCATATAACGGCACCTCCCAATATTCGGTATTTTAATGATTTTAGCGTCTTTTTTCACCAGAATTGTTTCAAATTACGTATTTAGAGTTCATAATGGGAACTTCAGTCTGTAACAGAAAATTGTCTATACAGGTGCAGATCTTCGTATAGGCCCCATATATCAGTACCTCCCCTATATTCGGTATTTTGACGATTTTAGCTACAATTTCCATCGAAATTGTTTGAGATGTCGTATTTGAACTTCGTAATGGATGCTATAGCCTGTGACAGGAAATTGTCTATGTTGGTCCAGGTCTTTTCACAGCTCCGATATAACGGTATCTCCCTATATACGATATTTTTATAATTTTAGCTACATTATTGACCGTTTAATTCAATTTTCGAATTTGGAAATGGCAATGGCTTATGACAAACAATGCATATGTATACACTCCAATATAACTACTATCTTCGGTATTTTTAAGATTTTAGCAGAATTTTTAATGGATTTTAATTTTTTGAAAATTGCCAAATTTGTATCAAATCGTGGAGGGTATTCGAATATAACTACTATCTTCGGTATTTTTAAGATTTTAACAGAATTTTTAATGGATTTTAATTTTTTGAAAATTGCCAAATTTCTACCAAATGGTGGAGGGTATTCAAAGTTCGGCCCAGCCGAACTTACAGCTTTTTTACTTGTTTTGTTTTTCATTTTCTCTTTGTTCTTTTCCATTTCAGACTTTAACAATGATGGCAAGCCCGATAACATCACTTTCATGATAAAACGCATTAAAGTCCACAACATGAACGCCATCAAGGATCCCTCATATCGATTTCCCGGAAATTATGGTGTTGAGAAATTCTTGGAATTGTTTTCAGGTAAGTTTTTGGCGATTGTTTTGAGAACTGAAAAGAAATTGTACGATAAGATATCATTTGCTGTGAGTGGACAAAAATAGCTTATTTTTGGTAAACTTAATTTAAAGTGTTTTCAAAATCATTTTTGCTTAACTTAAAATAAATTTGAGGAAAACTTTATTCAAATTAATTTTGGAATGCAATTTTTTTTAAAAAGAAAAATCTTTATTAGAATATTGATATATGGAACGATTGCAAAAAGTCTGTAATATCTTCAATGGGTAATATGAGGAAAAATGAATTTAGATATCTTATCATTAAAAACTGAATGAGAAAACCCTCAAAATGCGATTTTGTTACTCTTTTGTATACAGGAAGGTTCCTGTATTGTAAATTAAGTTTCGCCACCTTAGAACTTTTTTAAACAAACCCACAGTGGTCTCACTCTCTTTATGGAAATGTGCGACAAAAATGTTTCTATTCCATTGACATTTTAAAGCAGAAGATTGTGATGAGGACTATGGTAAAAAACATGTAAATGCGACATTAAGTTCTGTCGAACTTTTTATACCCTCCACAATGTGAAAATTTGAATTAAAAACAAATCAGCTGTTCTTAAAATATCCAAAATTTTGAAGTTCCATTATGCAGAGGATATATCTATATATATATATATATATATATATATATATATATATATATATATATATATATATATATATATATATATATATATATATATATATATATATATATATATATATATATCTATATAATATTTTTGAGTAGAGTTAGTCTATGAAATCTGCAACAAAGTCAAACGCCATAATTCTCAATTTTTACATTTTTTTTTAATTTTATTGAATGAAAGCAAAACATGTCGGAAATAGCATCAAATTTTAGAATAAGTTTAGATTTGTTCGAATTGGTCACCTTTGGTGCGAATTATGGCCTTCAAGTGGCCAATGAAACCGTCGCACGCTGCCCGATTGTTACTCTGCGATATTTTGGCCCATTCCTGGCGAAGCGCTTGCTTGAGGTGATCGAGGGACGTTGAGGGTCAGAATATAACCCTATTGTTTTTGGAGATGGTAGCAAAATATTTAGATGTTGAAATGGGCCACAAAAAAGAAAAATTTCCTGATTTTGCAGCTACTCTACATGTCGCAATTGTAGACCAATTTTTCAATATTTGCCGAATGGAATATTGCGATATGTTCAGCTCACGAGCCATTTTTCGGCAACTGAGACGCGGGTTTCGATCAAGTCGCTTCTTTACATTTCGAACCATTTCTGCTGATGTTGCTGTGTCTGTGTTTCTTCCGTCCACTTTCTTGACGTCGGGCTACGCTACCAGTATCACGATAACGAGCGATGGCACGAGACAAAATATTTATTCACATTTAAATGCTGGAGTGCTCTAACGATAGCCACTTGTGGTTTTCCAGTTAAATATAAAGAAATCACACTATCACGACAACATACTTCAATAATCATAAAAGCTCACTTTATATGTGACTAAAATATAAACCGGTAGTGTAATTCTCTTACTCATTTATTGAAAAAAATCGGTAATATTAAAACGCTTATAATTTCGGTAATCAACGACATTTGTTGGTAAGTTAGCGACGAAATCAAAGTAGTCGCTAAGACCTACCCATGTTGTCACCTTTAACTTATTTTTTATATCAAAATTTTGGGTTTCAAAGTTACCCATTTTTCGGTTTAATAAAAAAAAGAGTTCGACAATCCCACTACAGCTTTCATTTGGCATTTCTTCGAAATCTCACAACTGCATTTATAAACAGCATCTTATGAATTTGTAGAATTTCCACTTAATGTTATTCTTAACTTAAAATGGTTATATATATCCTCTCGAGCAACATTACAAACCCTCATACCATGGCAAACTTCAACCTTAATAATATCTTGCATGCCAACGTGTATGTTGGTATGCATGTCAAAAAAAAAACTGGTATGACATCTCTCTGCCTGCTCGAAATAATTTATAATTGCAAAATTTGCAAAAATATTCAACAATAACCGCAGTCAAAATGCAATAAAGTTAATAAAGGCACGCATACCCAGTCAGATGATATCCGCAGATATTACGTTAGCAATAACAAGCCATGTATGTGGTTTTATAAAATTGCATTATTTTTTTCCATACGACATGGATTTATGTTGGAGACATTGGGGTGGATGTGAAAGAAATAAACGGCAATGAAATTCCTCTTGGAAAAATCGACTCTTGCAATTCGTATTTCTCTGACAGAAAACAAAAAAAAAGGACCAATAACAAGAAATACTCAATTTCTGACCACTAGGTGGTCAGGGTATTATTTCTTTGTGCGTTTGTTTGTAACAGGCAAAAGGAAACGAGATAGACCCATAGTTCCTTTTGATGATCTGCATAGAATCACATTCTGAGTCGATTTATGCATATCCGTCCTCCCGTCCTTCCGTCCGTCTGTCCATGTATTTTTGTAAACAAAGTACAGTTCGCATTTATTGCGCGATCCAGATGAAATTTTGCACAAATCATTTGTTTCGCCCAAGGACGAACCCTATTGAATAATCTGTCAAAATTTAGATATAGCTCCCATATATATCTTCGTCCGATTTGCCTTTTATTGTGCACCAAACGTGTAATATCAGCCCGACTATTATGGAATTTTGCACATATAATCAAATTAGGCCTGAAAATAAGTATGCCAAATTTGATCGAAATCGGTTCAGATATAGCTATAGCTCCCATATATATTATTCATCCGATTTGTTATTTTTGGTCCTCCGCAGCCGTAATATGCACTTCGTAACAACAATATCTGTGGAAATATATCAAATACAGCTCAGAAATACATTTGCTAAATTTTATCGAGATCAGTTCAGATTTGGATATAGCTTATATATATAACTTCGTCCGATTTGCCTTTTATTGTACACCAAACCTCTAATATTTGTCCAAATGGGATGGAATTTGGCATTTATGACTGAATTGAGTCTAGAAGCTAGTATGTCAAATTTGGTGAAGATGGAATCAGATATTGCTATAGCTCCCATATATATTGTTCATCCGATTTGTTATATTTGTTACCCACAGCCGTAATATGCACTCCGTAGCAATGTTATATTCCGGGAAAATACAGCTCAGAAATATCTTTGCCAATTTTTATCGAGATAGGTTCTGGTTTGGTATAGCTCCCATGTATATCTTTATCCGATTTCAAATTAATTGTGCACCAAAGGGGCAATACAAGTCCGAATTTAAAAGATACAAATGCTTTGGCATATTTAGTCCTTTGATTTTAAATTATAATTATAATCATAGCGTGTATGATTGAAATCTCCCATAAAAAAACTTTTTATTGTTATGTGGAGCTCTGCTAAATTAGCAAAGTGGTGTAGGGTATCAAAATGTCGGCCCCGCCCGACTTTAAGACTTTCTTTACTGGTTATATATATAAAGTGGTAGGATAGATAGTCAACTGTTAGGCGAACCAATTTTCATTTTAAACTTTTACTTGAGGATTGAAACTGACCCGAGAAACACCAGATAGCATAAAGGTTATTGATCTCCTACCATTTTCTAAAACGAAGACCATCTACACATTAATTTTAATACTATCACATTATTGATCCTTAAAGGTATTAATAAAAATCATGGCATAAAGTACAATCTATTAGTAATGATGACCCTCAAAAAATTTTTTTCATTTTAAATTTTTACTTGAGGTAATGATGAGCCCTCAAAAGACAAACCATGCAAAACGACCCTGTCCTTCTCTGCATCCATAAATGTTATCTCATATCTAAAATGTTTTCTCTCTCTCTCTTCCTCTCCCTCTCAATGATTTAGTAAATATATATATATATATATATTACAAATGTAACCAGTAAATAAGTTAATACAATTGCCATTCCGCAAGCATCGCATTCAATATCAACAAGTAAACACTCGTTCTAACCTAATTTCCATGAAAGCTGATTAAATATTGTATACGGTCGGTTTACATTTAATATATGTAATCTTATGCATATGCATCCAATATGAATATTACGGGGCATGATGTAGTTGTGAGTAATCCACAGACACACACACTGCAGCACACACACATACATTGGAATGTCTATATATAACTTACTTTTACTTATTTTTCCTCCATTGAAAATGTTGAGTTGAAGGATTTTTCTACTTTTCACGGTAACAAAAAAAAAAACATTGAATGGAAATGAGAAACACGCACTGACGCCAGCATGCAAACACACACACTTCTAAGGGGAGAGAGAGAGAGAGGATCATATAGAAAATCTCAACCGTTGTTGTTTACACATTTCTGATAAGAGATATGTAAAATGTTTTGAAAATCAATTACATTTGAAGAAATGCAACTCAAAACTAAATTCAAGGTGAATTATAATGTTAATGAATAATGTTCTACTTTGGACAACGCACTCTCTATCTCTCTCTCTCGGAACGTTAGTTGAGTTGATGTTGTTTTATGAAAATGCGTTCGTGTGTGAAATGTACACAAATTAGCTGTTTCATGACCAGCATGTATTCTTCGAACTTCATGTAAAATAAAACAGTTTTTGAATTTCAAGGACATTGGCAGGGTTGTTGATGACGTTAATTCTTGGTACAAAGAAATTAAATACCAAACATTGCTACTTCAAAAATTAGTTGTGATATTTTATGGATCCTCATTTTTGTATGATTACGAAACAAAATTAAAATGAGAATGAAAATGAATCGACTTAGAATTATCCACAACTATACTAGCTCTTATACTGTGAAATTTTAAGATATTGCAGCGAATCGGAAAAAGTGCTATTTTTGCGAAATAAACAAAGTTTTTCTTTAACGAAAATTTATGATATTTTTTCATGGTAAATATTGAATATACAAACTTCGTTCGTTCAAAGACTAACAATGAAATACGATCTTGAATAATTCCTCCTTTGACACTTTCTCCAAAAAATGAAATCTACCTTTAAATTTTGACTCCGATTGGAAACGTGTTAAATTAGCAGTACATTATCACATTATTCTCACTTGTAGTACATGCATTTTGAATGCAATTTTCATAAAAACTATTAAACCTGGATATATAGTTTATTCCGAGACTTATAGTGAAATGATGTGTAGATTATTTCTTCTTTTGACACCTTCCATCTAAAATTAAATTTTATGTTACTTTCAGGCGTGAACTCGAAAAAAGTCTGAGGAAAAATTAATCAAATAGGAAATATTTTCGGATATTTTTGGGAACATTGTTGCGAATATTTTTGTTTATATACAGGGGAAATATTTTTTTCCCTTGGTGACTTGTATTGAAATTTCATGAAGAATATTTTCGTCTTTGACGTCATTCTTCTAAAATTATGCTTTATTGGAGATTTTTGGACTAACTCACACAAAAAAAAAAACAATTTTAACTCTAAAATTTGTCTTTAATATATATGAATTTCTGGTCTTTAGGTAAGATTTATACTTTTAACGTCTTCTAGGACCTATAGTAAAAATTTTATTAGACATAATTTTGTGGAATATTTTGACTTGCTACATTTTTAAAAAAGGTCCAACAAGACCCCTTTTTTTGCTTGAGGCCAGAATATTCCTTGTACTTTTCTTTACAATACTGTTGAAGACACTATGTACGAAAAATGCACGGACTCTGAGGAATATTAATCCTAAAATGTTTAAATTTGTGGAAGAGGGAGGAACTGGCTCCCTATATTTAGGTTATTTTACCATGTGTTACAGTGTTATCATTCCATGTATACTATTTAGTGTAGAAACTATGTATATAGGCAGTGGGCCCTCTAGGCCGTCCTCCTCCGAAATTCTGATTTTTCTGACATTCATTGTAAATTTTACATACCAAATAACCAACCATATAAAACAATTTTTAGACGTTTGTAATTCAGGTTCTCAGAAAATATAAAACGCCCCTACAGATATTCAATATTAGTCCATAATGATATCTACCTCAAAGGTCATAAGCTGTCCCTAGGTTATCCATATCCACTGTATTGTACATCCCTAATGTTGATATCTACTGATATTGAGAATTTTAAAATGTTTAACGTTGGTCTTTTTTCTGATAGTATAAACATTTCCCTTATGAAAAATGTACAATATCTACCCATTTTGAGGCTGCCTTCATCAATATTCGGTTATTTTATTCGCCGCGCCAAATTGCGATATAGTTCCTTATCTAGTTCTATTGCCATTGTTTGCTTTGCCAAATGTTGTAAAAATTGATTCCGATTTTAATATAGTTTTCACATATATCATCTTCCGATCGGAAATTTGTTGTACAAAAAAATTTATAATATCAGCCAAAATAATACGAAAATACGAACAATACAAAAAATGCAACCGAATTTATTCTAGAAGCAAGTACATAATCTATAGCTCCCACTATATGTTTCATCGGATCTTTTGATTTTTGTTATGCAGATGCAGTCTTTGAATACCTTTGTCAAATTTTGTCAAATATCACTTCAATTTCCACTTTTTCTGGTACCTCCCCCACAAAAGGTCACAATAATTTTATCAGTTGTAGGCAAGGTGCAAAAATGAACAGTATCAATCTACCTCATCGAGTACCACCCCCTCAAAGGGTTAAAATTTTGAATAATTATATCTCCTAATAATTTTGAAAAACAAACACATGACCACATTTCTATTAACACAGAATCTGGCGTGGAGAGAGAATATATCCGATCATTCCTTCCCACAACGGTCCAAATTTAGAATCAAAATATTTTTACCCAAATAATGCCTGGTGTGAAGATATCAGTCCACCCCTTCGGAATACTTCTCAGTCCACAATATCTGGTACCTGACGCACATTGCAACGTTTCCCAAAAATTATCACATATCCCATATATAGTGACTTGTTAAAATCTTGCACGTTGTTATAATAATATCAGACATAGATCAGATATGAAGGGATCAATATTTGCCCACTCTTTCAGAAACTCCTTCATAAAGGGTCGACAGTTTGAAAAATCCAAGTCCAAATATATTTAAATGCAGGGACATACTTTTTTACTAGTTTTCAAAATTTTCGCAAATTTACAGCTGACCTCCTTGGCAAGTAAAAAATCATTTTGTTTGTTTATAAACTGCTGGACAACGAATGTTTTCTCATCGGAGAAAACCACATTCGGCAGTTCACCACTTTCGGCCAAGCGAAGCAACTCTTTAGCTCTTATTATCTCTCTGTTGCGGTGTAAGTTATTGCAATTGTTGGAATTTGAATGGTTTTACCCCAGCTCATTTTTCAATATTTACCGAATGGAATATTGCGATACGAGTCATTTTTCGGCCACTGCGACGCGGGTTTCGATCAAGTCGCTTCTTTACACTTGGAGCCATTTCTGCTGATGTTGCTGTTTTCTTCCGTCCACTTCCTTGACGTCGGACTATGCTTCCAGTATCACAGTAACGAGCGATGGTACGAGACACAAAAGATTTATTCACATTTAAATGCTGCAGTGCTCTAACGATATAAAAATTATTATAACAACATACACACACCAACACAAAAACAAAACAAATATTTATATGTTTTTGCTTAATATTGTACAATTAGAGACTTAAATACAGTCAATTCAGATTAGAGCAAAATGTGAACAGGTGATGCAGGATATTATAGTTCACATGAGTTTGTTGTTTGGATTACAATTATCGGTATGCTACTGTAGCATATGCTCTTAGAAAAAAATAATAATCCCTCACAGTGTTGCTATTTTATTTTTTCGACATTAAATGACGTCTCTAATGCTATCATTTCGTCTCGTCTCATTTTTTTTGTATTCTTTAGTCTAAGCTTTCTTCTTTATCTTCAATTCCTTTATTCTCCTAATACTCTTACCTCTGAGTATTTTTGTATTGAAATATGTACTGTATGTCTTTTTTTGTTTGTTTGCCATTTTCAGAGGAGGATTACGATGCTTTCTGTTTGGCTTATATGTTCACCTATCGGGATTTCGAAATGGGCACACTGGGTCTGGCCTGGACGGGTGATTTGAAGAATGCCGGCGGTGTGTGTGAAAAGAATGGGGTAAGTACAGCGTACGATTTTATTTTGAAAATATTTAGGTAAATAACAATTGATGATCTTTTGGGGAAATGCGCGTTGAGTAAATATTAGTTATTGCATTCCACATTCGGTAACGTCTAATTCTAAATATAAATTCGACATTTTTTTTCGAAAAATTTAAAAGAAGATCACACCAGGATATCCTCCCGATTACTTCGAGCTTATATTTTGCAGATTTCTGCAGATCAGTCAATGAAAGTTATATATCGATTTATATAAAGTAGTACAGAAATACCTGACTGAGAATTAACATCCAGACGAAACGGCTAAAGCTAGTTTCTAGAGACTTTGTATGAAGGTCATTCTTGATGCGAAGGTTGGGTTTTTCAAAATTCGTACTAAAAGGGTAGGAAAGGCACTAAACATTTAATACTTTATAATGGACAAACGGAAGGAGGTGGAATTATGGAATTAACTTTAAATGAGAGTCACTGATGGAGGACAGGATAAATGTACCAAAGCGTTTTTGGAAATTCGAACTTTAAGATTACGAAAAGTTCCAATATGGTAATAAACTTTGGAGTTATGTGAACTGAAACAAAAATTTGGTATGAGAATCTGGATTTGGAAGTAAGTTTATATATGAAGGTGGTTTTGGAAATGTGTACTCAGTGTGCGAACTGTACTAAATAGTACTTATTTTGGTTTAGAGTGAACGGATTAAGCTGGAATTTTGAAATTTTGTATTAAGGTCTCTTTTGGTGGTAGGTTTGTGATAAATAGGTGGTTTTGGAAAAGTGGACCAAAGGTACTAAATAGCACTATAAATTTGCGCAATTTGGTATTGGGTGAACACACAGTACTAGAAATCTGAAATTTGGCAATGGTACCAGTTTTTATTATGAGGACGGGTAGGGCTAAAAATTTTTAATTTGATATGAAAATCAGGGTTGGAAAGTAAGGTTGGTATGTGAAGGTTGTTTTGGAACTATACCAATTGGTACTAAATTGGGAACAGTTTGGTTAAGGGTGAACGGACGAAGATGGAAGTACTAAATTGTACTATATTTGGTACAATTTGGTAATTGGGTCGTTGTTCATGTGTAGCCTGGACATATGGAGTTGGTTGCGGAAATGTATATTATAATTGTACGAAAAGTACCGCATGGTACCATATTTGGTATTGTGTGAGGGGAAAGGGATAAGATTTTGAAATTTCATATTTAGATTAATGATGGTATCTGTTATTGAGACTTTGCAGTGGCCTGAAAAATGCGTCCTATATTTGTACGAAAAGCACAAAATTTTATATTAGATGGAGGGATAAGGCTGAAAACCGGCTGCAATCCTCAAATTTGATATTGAGGTATCAGTTGGTATCTGAAATTGAGATATGGAGGTGGTTTTAAAAATGTGTACTATAATTCTGCGAAAAGTACTAAATGGTACTAAATTTGGTGTTGGGTGAAGAGATAGAGCTAGAATGCCAAAATCTGAAATTGAAGTTTCTATTGGTATTTGGGATTCAGATATGAAGGTGGTTTTGAAATGTGTACCACAAATGCACAAAAAGTACTAAATAGTTCTATATTTCTGGAATTCTGGAATTGAGACATGGAGGTGCTTTTGGAAATGTGTACTATAATTTTACGAAAAGTACCAAATAGTACTAAATTTGTAACTGTGTGAAGGAATAGAGGTTAAATTCTGAAAATTTACACAGATGTCACTGTAGGTATCTGAGATTGAGATATGGAGGTTTTTTTGCAAATTTTTATACGAAAGGTACTAAATAGTACTAAATCTGGTATTGGCTGAAAGGAAAAGGCTGAAATCCGGCTGGAATACTCAAATTTGATAATAAGGTCTCTAATCGTATATGGAATTGGGATATGGATGTGGTTTTAGTAATATTTGTACGAAAAGTACTAAATAGTACTAAATATGTTTTTAGGTGAAGTGGTTGAAATATAGTAGAGAATTTTCGAAATGTGTACTATAATTGTGGGAAACGTACTAATAGTACTAAATTAGTTTTTGTGTGAAGAAATAGAGATAAAATCCTGAAAATTGATACAGATATCGCTGTTGGAAATTAGGATTAAGATATTGAGGAGGTTTTTGGAAATGTGTACCATAATTATACGAAAAGTACTAAGTGACACTAAATTGGGCATTGAAGCTGGAACCCCGAAATTTTATATTGAGGTCTCTCTTGCTATGTGGGATTGAGATATGGAACTGGTTTTGAAAATGTGTACCATGACAATGTGTATACGACAATTATACGGAAAGTACAAAATGGTACTAAATTTGGTATTGTGCGAAATAATCGAGTTGAAATCCTGAAATTTGATATTCGAGTCTCTATTAGCATCTGGGATTGAGATATGTAGGTGGATTTGGAAATGTGTATTATAATTGTACGAAAAGTATCAAATAGTACTAAAATTTATTATTGGGTGGAGGAATGGGGCTGGAATCCTGAAAATTCGAATTGAGGTCTCCGTTGGTATCTGGAATTGAGATATGTAAGTGGATTTGGAAATGTGTATTATAATTGTACGAAAAGTACCAGATGGTACTCAATTTAGTATTGGGTGCAGAAATAGAGCTGGAATCCTGAAAATTGATATTAAAGTCTCCGTTGGTATCTGGAATTGAAAAAGTACGAAATGTACTAAATAGTACTAAATTTGGTATTGGGTGTAAGAATAGTGCTCGAATTCTCAAATTTTATATTGAGGGGTATATTGAGGGGTATATTGGCATCTGGAATTGTGATATGAAACTGGTTTTGGAAATGTCTACTATAATTGCACGAAAAGTACTAAATAGTACTAAATTTGGTATGGAGTTAAGGGCTAGAGATCAAATGCTCAAATTTTAATTAAGGTCTCTGCTTGTATTCGGTGTTGGGATATGGGGGTGGTCTTAATAATTTGTATTACTATTGTTCGAAAGATGCTAAGTGGTACTAATTTTGGATCACTCTAAGTGTCTAGGATGGAGATATGTCCATTGTTTTGAATGCTGAAATTCTGGAATTTGATATTGAAGTCACTGTTGGTTTCTAAGGCTTACATATCGCGACAATGAAATATTTTTGGACAGAAAAATTCGATGTGGGTCCATTGTGCAGTAATTTTGGCTGTAAACTTAAAAATGAAAGATAGGAAAGAAACATTTCCCTATTATTCTTTCCGAAAATGGGAAAACTTAAATAACTTATAAGAATATTTGGATTACAAAAATTTTGTCAAACAGAACAAATTACGCATTTTTTTTAAAAAGCCTCACACGGACTGTTGAAGCGAATTTAATATTTTAAGGTGGACTTTTCTCTGACGAAGTAGCGGGCACTTGCAACTTCTTCCATTTTTTGATTATTTTCCATTCCTATTTGGTAAAATAATGCACAATAAAGCCACACAAAGATGTTCTGCTTATCCCCCCATATCCATCATTTAGCCTCTTCTCAAAATTCTGAAATGACTTTAAAAGTACCCCCCCCCCCCCCCCCCCCGAACACCCATTCCTCATCTAAAAATGCCAATCGATATAAGAACCCACAAGAATTCTTCTCATGTTCGCATTTAAATTGCCTCGTACAATTTGAAAAATTATTTTTCATTATTGCTGACGACCGACCGACCGGCCGGCCGGAACATTAAAAAGCAACGCCATAAAACTGCATATGAAAAACTTCAACAATTTTATTATGAACTTGAAAATTCATTATGACCTTTTTTTCCCTGTCCGATGCTAACGTTAAAACACATTCGAATGTGAACGTTGTGACACCATTAAGAGGCGGGTGTGAGATTAAACTACAGCAAAAAAACCCATTCGCCAAATGGAACAGGCATAACAAAATGGCTATATAACAGAGAGTTAACACAGCGCGAGCCATGGTCATAACAATGAAAACGAGGCGAAATGGACAAAATGTTTCACACACCCATACTAGCACACACACATATACGTGCCCTCCCAGCCAAAGCCAAATGAAGTGACATAAACCCCGAAAAACGAGAAACAACAACAACAACGAAAATATACAACCACCTCCGTTTGCAGTTTTGAAAACAACAATACATGTCTTCATTTTATTCATTTCCGACATGTTCGCCGAATAAATTCCATACCTCCTCTCGTTGGATGGTTGGTTGGTTGCTGGCTGGCTGATGTTTTGCAAATGTTTAAATGTATACCACACTTGAATGTGTGCATCAGTGTGTGTGTTTGTATGTGTGTTCGTATTTGTTGAAAGCAATGAAAAGGATCCAGTTGTCAGCATTTACAGTCAAACAAAACCATTCGCCATCGCCATTCACCATCCGTTAAGAACATTTTCACACAAACAAATACACACACACACCCATCCTAACTAACACAAATACAATGTTGTGCATTTTGTTAAGGATCACCAGCGCCTGGCAAAAAGGTTGACCGACCGGTAATGGAACCTACAATTGAGCACAACAGTAAAAAACGAAACGAGTTTTTTGTTTTCTTTTGTATTCATTTCCACAACAACAACAAAAAGTCCATAGCCTTCTCCAATATTCGGAGCAGTACAAACAGAAAAAGGAAAGAAATCAGCAGCGATTCTAAAGCATTGTTGAATTACATTTATTATGGTGTTTTAACATAATATTCACTCGTATCGAGCTTAAAGTCCTTTCACACACACACGCACGCACACAACTGAAAGAAAAGTCTTCCCGGGGCAGCGAGAAATTTATGCTGGTTTTTATGTCAATACCAAAAGAATGCAGTTTTGTTGATTCGCGAAAAGAAAAACATTTAATTGCAAATTGCTGAAATTTAATCGAAGTTAATACAAAAACTACAAATATAGCTAAATTCGGCACAAGCCGAACATTTAATACCCTCCAGCATTTGGAGGAAACTTAAAAAATTAAAAAAAAATCCTTTGAAAACTAAATACCGTTTGTGGGGGCTATACTAAGATGTGTATCTGCATAAGTTTATTGTGCCCTATTAAATTATATCGA